AATAATGCAGCTGTGCACACTTATGTACAAGTTTTTGTGTGGAAATACGTTTCAGTTTTTAGTATATACCTGAGAGCAGACTTGCTGGATCATATGGTAACCGTATGTTTAACTTTTGAGGAACTGCCCAAGTATTTTTCTAAGTGAATGTACCATTTTACATTCCTGCCAGCAAGGTATGAGGTTTCCAGTTTCTCCACATCTTCACCAATGCTTGTTCCGTCTTCATGATTATAGCCATTCTAGTTAGTATGAAGTGATAGTTCATAGTTTTGGTTTGCATTTTTAATAAATAATAATGTTAAGCATCTCTTCCTATGCTTATCAGCCAGTTGTACATATTTTTTGAGAAAATGTCTATTCAAATTTTTTATTGGATTATGTGTCCTTATTTTTGACTTGTAAGAGATCTTTATGTATTCTGGATACAAGTCCCTTGTATTAAATATAAGATTTGCGAGTAGTTTCTCCTGTTTTGTGAGTTGTCTTTTTATTTTCTGATAATATCCTTTGAATTCCAAAAAGTTTTAATTTTGAGGAAGTCTGTTTTGTCTATTTTTTCCTTATGTCACTTGTGCTTTTGGTTTCATATTTAAGAAAATATTGCCTAATTCAAGGCCATAGAGGTTTCTGCTTAAGATTTCTTTCAAGAGTTTTAGTTTTAGCTCTTACACTTAGTTATTTGATCTCTCTTGAGTTAATTTTTGTTTATGGTATGAGGTAGGAGCCTAACTTCTTCCTTTTGAATGTGGATTTCCAATTGTCCTAACATCGTTTGTTGAAGAGACTATTTTTCCCCCTTGAATTGTCTTGGTACCTATTGCATCTTAAGAGCAAGTTAGTACAGCTTTGGAGAACACACATTCAGAAGCCAGATTCACCTGCAAGCTGTATTTCCCTAATTTGTTTAACAATCTCTATTCCTTTCATTTTTCATGGGGGAAAAGTCGGAAATTAATGGAGACATTCCTTGAAGACATTGTGGGTTCAATTCCAGATAACCACATTAAAGCAGATATAACAGTAAAGCAAATCACATAAATTTTTTTGGCTTCCCAGCATATATAAAAATTATATTTACAGTATACTGTAGTCTATTAAATGTGTGATAGCATTATATCTTTAAAAACAATGTATATACCTTAATTTTAGAATATTTTATTGGTAAAAAATGCTGGCAATCATCTCAGCCCTCAGCAAGTTGTAATCTTTTTGGTGGTGGAGTGTCTTGCCTCGATGTTGATGCTGCTGACTGACCAGGGTGGTGGTTGCTAAAGGTTGGGGTGACTGTGACAGTTTCTTAAAATAAGACAATGACGTTTGCTGCATCAGTGGACTCTTCCTTTCACTGAAGATTCCTCTGGAGCATGCAGTGCTGTTCGATAGCATTTTACCTACTGCAGATCTTTCAAAATTGGGGTCAATCCTTGCCAACCCTGCTGCAGCTTTATCAACTAAGTTCTAAATCCTTTATGTGTGATCATTTCAACAATTTTCACAACATCTTCACCAGGAGTAGATTCCATCTCAAAAAACCACTTTTTGACTGAGAGTGGGGGGAGGGGAAATAGAGGGTTACATATAATGAATATGGGAGTTCTTTTTTTAATTGAAATATAATTAACATACTATAAAATTCAACCTTTTAAAGTGTACAGTTAAGTGATGTAGAGTATATTCACAAGCAACAACTCTTCGTTTGTTTCAAGTTCGATTATAGAGATTGCAACAATTCAGTAACATCTTCAGACTCCACTTTTAATTCTGGTTTTCTTGCTGTTTCCACCACATCTGTAGTAACTTCCTCCACTGAAGTCTTGAACCTGTCAAAGTCATCCAGGATAATTTGAATCAACTTCCTCCAAGTTCCTGTTAATGTTGACATTTGACTTCCTCCCGTGAATCATGCATGTTCTTAATGGCAGCTAGAGTGGTGAATCCTTTCCAGGAGGGTGTCAATTGACTTTGTCTAGATCCCTTAGAGAAATTGCTATCTGTGGAAGCTATAGCCTTATTAAATTTATGCCTTAACTAATAAGACTTGAAGCCAGACACAGTGGCTCATACCTGTAATCTTAATGCTTGGGGAGGCTAAAGCAGGAGAATTACTTGAGACCAGGAGTTCAAGACCAGCCTAGACAACATAGCAAGACCTTTGTCTACATAAAAGATAAATAAAAAATCAGCTAGAGTCTAGGCATGGTGGCTCATGCCTATAATCCCGACACTTTGGGAGGCTGAGGTGAAAGGATTGCTTTAGCCTAGAAGTTTGAGACCAGCCTAGGCAACACAGCAAGACTTCATCTCAACAAAAATCAAAAATTTAGTCAGGCATGATTGCTCATATTTATAGTCCCAGTTACTCAGGAGGATGAGGTGGAAGTATGGATCCCCTGAGGCCAGAGAGTAGAGGCTGTGGTGAGCGTGACCATTGCACTCTAGCCTGGGTGACAGAATGAGACCCCAATTAAAATAGATGATGGGCCGGGCTCGGTGGCTCAGCCTGTAATCCCGCACCTTTGGGAGGCTGAGGTGAGTGGATTGCCTGAGCCCGTGGGTTCGAGACCCGCCTGGGCCGCGAGACCTCATCTCTACAATAAATCAAAAAATCAGCCGGGCATGGTAGCGCATGCCTGTAATTCCGGCTACTTGGAAGGCTGAGGCAGAAGGATCGCCGGAACCCAGCAGGTCGAGGCTGCGGTGGCTGGGAGCAGCCACTGCACTCCAATCTGAGCGACAGAGTGAGACTCCAACTCAAAAAAAAAAAAAAATATATATATATATATATATATATATATATATATATATATATATATATAGATGATGGATGGTTGGATGGATGGATAGATGGATGGATAGATAGATAGATAGATAGATAGATAGATAGATAGATAGATAGATAGATAAAGCTAGGCATGGTGGCATGCACCTGTAGTAAAGGTACTTGAGAGGCTGAGGTGGAGGATCCCTTGAATCCGGGAACTCAAGGCTGTGGTGAGCTCTGATCAAGCCACTATACTTCAGCCTGGGTGACAGGGTGAGACCCTGTTTCTAAAAACAAATAAATAAGACTTGAAAGTTGAATGGGTGCAGTATAGATGTTGTGTTAGCAGGCATGAAAAAAATATTAATCTCCTTGTACATGCCCATCAGAGTTCCTGGGTGACCAGGTACATTGTCAATGAACGGTAATATTTTGAAAGAAAAATTTTTTCTTCTGTGTAGTAGTTCTGAGCTTTAAACATTTAGTAAACCATGCCGTAAACAGATACGCTGTCATCCAAGCTTTGTTGTTCCATTCCTAAGGCACAGGCAGAGTAACTTCAGCATAATTCCTAATGGTCCTAGGATTTGGGAATTGGTAAATGAGCAATGGCCTCAACTTCAAGTCACCATCTGCATTAGCTCCTAACAAGTCAGCCTGTCCTTTGAAGCTTGAAGCCAGGCATTGACTTCTCTCTAGCTATGAAAGGCTTAGATGGCATCTTTTCCCCATAGAGGGCTGTTTCATCTCTTTGAAAAGCTGTTGTTTGTGTAGCCATCTTTATCAATGATCTTAGCTAGATCTTCTGGATCGCTTGCTGCAGCTTCTCCATAGGTACTTGCTGCTTCACCTTGCACTTTTATGTTATGGAGACAGCGTCTTTCCTTAAAAGTTCATGAACCAACCTCCGCTAGTTTCCAGCTTTTCTTCCACAGCTTTCTCCCTTATCTTAGCTTTCATAGAATTGAAGAGAGTTAGGGCCTTGCTCTGAATTAGGCTTTGGCTTAAGTGAATGTTGTGGCTGGTTTATCTTCTGTCCAAACCAAGAAAACTTTCTCTGTATCAGCAATAAGGCTGTTTATCTTTTTTTTTTTTTTTAAATCAGTAATGTGTTCATTGGAATAGCACTTTTAATTTCCCTCAAGAACTTTTCCTTTGCATTTAGAGCTTGGTTGTTTGGCATAAGAGGTCTAGCTGTAGGCCTGTCGTGACTTTCAACACATCTTCCTTGCTAACCTTAATCATTTCTGGCTTTCTAGCTTTTGATTACATGTGATTGATGTGTGTCTCTTCCTTTTACTTGGACACTTAGAGGTCACTGTAGAATCATTGGCCTAATTTCAATATTGCTGTGTCTTGGGGACTAGGGAGGCCCAAGGACAGGGAGAGAGATGAAGGAATGGCTGGCCAGTGGAGCACTCAGAGCACACAACATTTATCAGTTAAGTGGACTGTCTTATATGAGCAGTGTTTGTGGTGTCCCAAAACAATTCCAATAGTAATACCAGAGATTACTGAGCACAGATTCCCATAACAGATATACTAATGATGAAAAAGATGGCCAGGAGTGGTGGCTCATGCCTGTAATCCCAGCACTTTGGGAGGCACAGGCAAAAGGAATGCCTGAGCCCAGGGCTTTGAGACTAGCCTCAGCAACTTGATGAGACCTTTTCTCTACAAGCAATCAATCAATCAATCAAATAAAAATAAAATGAGCTGGGCATGGTAGCACACACCTGGAGTTCCAGCTACTTGGAAGGCTGAGGTAGAAGGATCGCCTGAACCCAGCAGGTCGACTTGATAATAATTTGTCTCTAAAATGAATGAATGAATGAGCTGGGCATGGTAGCTCGCACCTATAGTTCCAGCTACTTGGAAGGCTGAGGTGGAAGGATTCCCTAAACCCAGCAGGTCAAGGCTGTGATGGCCGTGAGCGTGCCACTGCATTCCAGCCTGAGTGACAGAGTGAGACTCCAACTTGGAAAAAAAGAAAAAGATGAAATATTACAAGAATTACCAAACTGTGACACAGAGACATCAAGTGAGCACGGGGTTGCCAATTTGTTAAAACAACAATAACTAGAAGAAAAAAGGATCTGCAAAGCATACTAAAGCAGTGCTCAATAAAATTAGGTATACCTTTATTTCCAATTGTGTATGTTTTGGTGTGTATGTGAATGGAGGAGGTAAAGAGTACCAGAATTAAAAAGTAATAATTTTATAAAATGTTTTACAGGATGTAATTTCACACAGAACAAAGCTGAATAAGAAAAAAGGAGGAGAAATGGAAATATTTAACACTGACAACCAAGGAATTAAAAGTTTGAGTAAGGAGAGAAGGAAAATACTAGAAACATATCAGCAGCTGTTTTACCTTTTACAGGTGAGAGCAATATACCTTTTCACAGTGAGTCTGGGATAATACTATGTTCCATATTTGTGGTTTGCAGAGAATCCTTCCCCATGCTGCAACTGTAACGGCTGCATTTTTTGAGCACCTACTAGGTACCGAGTACTATTCTAGGTGTTTTACGTACATTATCTCATTTCATTCTTACTATAACCGTGGGAGTCATAAGAGACTCCGAAATTACAGATGGGAAAACTGAGACGCAGCCAGTAAATGGTAAACCCCCTGCTCTTTATGACTATATTATGCTACAGTTATCTGCAGTGACAGTACACGTCTAATAATAACATAAACAGATGTTATCATCTATAAAATGAAAGTAATTGAATGCGAAAAACAGATCTTTACCAGAACAAGCCTGTCTTTGGGGGGAAAAGTCAGAGGGTTGGGATTAGGCAATAGAGGACATCTTTTTCATTTTATTTTTGTGGCATTACTGTGACCTTAATGAATAGTAATTGTCCTTTGCTTCCCAAGAGTGGTGAGCACTGATAAGTTTAGCTAGTTGTGGTTAGACTTGGATACCGTTTCTTGTTTTGTTTGACCATTGATTCATCCCTTCCACCCTCCGAGCACATACAGTTAGTCACAGAGGAAACTTCATGATAGGGAGAGATATCAACAACCCAGCTCTTCAGCAGGAAAACCTTCCTAAAAGAGGTGACCCAGTAGCATTTCCTTGTGATAATAGAAAAGGTCCCTCAGTGGGCGGGGGCTGCTATTTGGGGTGGTTCGTTTAAGGTCTGGAAATGTCTGGACCTTTGTTTAAGGATGTCACTGATGTGGGATGTGCAAAGAACACATTACACAAGCTTTAAGCAAGAGATGGGGCTAACCCCATTGAGAGACAAGATGTTAAGTTTACTAGAGTTGAAATTTTGGTAGAGTTGTTGGTTTTTTTTTCATAGATTGGGGGAACATCATCTTCAAACACATGAACATCTTCAAACAGATGGCCACCATATGGCAGCATAGGAGGAAAAAGTTAACAGTACTTTGAACTGTGAAATTCACTGCTTACCACCAGCAACCTTCCAGAAAGAAAAGGGGCTCTCTTTAAGTAGGAATGGATTTTGTTCTGCGCAATTTAGACCAGTAGTCAACTACCAGTTGGAAATTTAACCTTAGGCACATAATTTTTTTTCCTTCTTTTTGATTCAGAGTCTCGCTCTCTTGCCTAGGCTGGAGTGAAGTTACATGATCACAACTCACCACAGCCTCTGACTCCTGGGCTCAGGTGACCCTTCCGCCTCAGCCTCCTGAGTAACTGAGACGACAGGCACATGACGCCACACCTGGCCAATTTTTTTTTTAATTCTTTGTAGAGGTGTGGTCTCACTATGTTACCTAGGCTGGTCTCACACTCCTGGACTCAAGCAATCCTCCCACTTTGGCCTCCCAAAGTGCTAGGATTCTAGAAGATTCTTTAGGATTTAGTTTTCAAATTTGGACAGAAATTTCATCAAAAGAAAAGTCAAAATCTGGCCAGGTGCAGTGGCTCAAGTCTGTAATCCCAGCACTTTGGGGGGCCGAGGTGAGAGGATTGCCTGAGCCCACGGGTTCAAGACCAGCCTGGGCAACATGGTAAGACCTCGTCTCTACAGTAAATCAAAAAATTAGCCTGGTGTGCACGAGCCTGTAGTTCCAACTACTTGGAAGGCTGAGGCGGAAGGATCGCCAGAGCCCAGCAGGTCGACACTCGGGTGGCCGTGAGCATGCCACTGCATTACAGCCTGAACGGCAGAGTGAGACTCCAACTCAAAAAGAAAAGTCAAAATCTAGTCATTGACTTAAGACTTGTGTTAATTATCCTGTTAACACAAGTGAAGGCTCTTAATGAAAAGGAGAAGAGGCACAGGTGCATATTTAGAATAATTCCACCAAGGTTTTTCCCCCAGACAATCCAAATGAATAATCTCAGGGAAGGACCTTTAGGCTGAATCAACTGATGTGTCTCTTTAAATCCTGTATTTTTCTTATCCTTTTCTTCTCTCCTTTTTTGAGATATTAGCCTAAGATTAATGAAGAAATTATAGAAAAGAGAATGAAATGGATTTATTTGCCCTTAGATTACATCTTTGCGAGAATTCTTGACCAAGGAGCAGGTCAGCTAGTGTAGGTTTTGCTTTGGGCTTGTCTCTTCAACACGAGCCTACTGTGAAGTTTTTAGGTCCCCTGAGGAGGAATGATAAGCAGCCTTCTTTCTTTAGCTCTGCAGGAGGTTTCCTTTCTCTTAATCCCCATATGCATATTTAGTATTGGAAAAGAATCGCTATAGAGCTTTCAAGAAAAGGCTGTCACTGGGCAGGGCTCAGTGGCTCATGCCTGAAATCCCAGCACTTTGGACGTCCAAGGCAGGAAGACTGCTTGAGTCCAGGAGTTCGAGACTAACCTGACAACACAGTGAGACCTTGACTCTACGAAAAACAACAAATTAGACAGACACTGTGGTGCATGCCTGTAGTCCCAGCTACCCGGGAGGCTGAGGTGGAAGGATCACCTTAGCCTAGAAGGTTGAGACTACAGTTAGCCATAATTGTGACACTGCACTCATGTTTGAGCAACAAACTTGAGACCCCCAACTCAAAAGAAGAAGAGGTTATCCTGAGCTTGTTTATTTATTAAATTTCAGCCAGCCATTGTGAGCTTGAACGTATACCTAAGTAGCAGGGTAAACCAGAAACTGGATTTTCTTTAAAGCTTTAAAGCCAACCTCCTTGAGTATATTGGATGAATTCTAGTTTTCTTTTTCTTTTCTTTTTCTTTTTCCTTTTCCTTTTTTTTTTGAGTAGATTCCTTACTCTGTCACCCAGGCTGGAGTATAGTGGCACACTCACAACTACAACAGACTTGACCTGCTGGGCTCAGGTGATCCTTCCACCTAAGCCTTCCAAGTAGCTGGAACCACAGGTGCACACCAGCACGCCTGGCTAATTTTTTGATTTACTGTAGAGACAAGTTCTCACCAAGTTGCCAGGCTGGTGTCGAACCCCTAGACTCAGGCACTCCTCCTGCCTCCCCCTCCCAAAGTGCTTGGATTACAGGCATGAGCCACCACACCCAGCTGAATTCTAGTTTTCAAGTATGGGAAAATTTTCTTTTCTCATTAGAAGAAAGGTGAATATTAGGAGCATTCAGTTTCTCTGTGTGACTACTTTCCTCTATAACCTCAATACTTTTTTTTTTTAATCTTTTAACTTCTACCTGGTTGGTATAGCTGCTGGAGAAAAACCATATTACTGTGAAGGCTGATGCTGTATCTAATGTAATACATCCTCAGCCCAGCCCTCAGGGCTCCACGGCAATTTAAAAAAAATTCCTGTCCATCTTTTAAGTTCTTTGTTGTTGTTGTTTTAGGGTTCTTCTTACATTTCCCTCATCTAGTATCCTGGCCTTCACTCTCTCTTCAGCCTCCCTGCCTTGCCCTCTCACCACTTGGAGAACGTCATGGCAGGCTGCTCTCTCCACATGTAAACACATCCCTTTCTTTTTCTCCCTAGTCTGAGAAGATAGTATATACCTCCTTCTATTCATCCATCAATCCTCCTAGGCCAGCCCAGGCAGCTGGCCCTTAGTCCACTCTCGCCAGCCTTTTTGGAAACCAGATTCTATTAGCCATCCCATCTCTGCATCTCTACAATAAATACTAGCATGTGGCTCAAAAGGGTTAACAGCAAAAAAGTATATATAATATAATCACATATTGCATTAAATATATCATGTAGTGTGTAACACTTAAGCAGTGTCATAACTTTCTAATATAGCTTCCTATGGTATGGTATTAGTGTTAGCTGATCCCTTTTAAAGTCTTATTATGTGCTGGGTACTCATCTCGATGCTTCAAAATGATGTATGAAGTCACTGAAGAGCTGGGAATCGGATACTGCTTTGTGCTTTAATCATATATTAACCTCGAGTTTGTGGGGGATTTTGTTTTCTTCTTTCGTCTTTCCTTTTAGACCAACCCGTTATATTTGGCTAAGCTGATTTTCCAGATGCCACAGAACAAGTCAACTAAATTTATGGATACTGTTATTTTCACACTATACAATTATGCTTCTAATCAGCGAGAAGAATATCTACTACTCAAGCTTTTTAAAACTGCTCTGGAGGAAGAAATAAAGTATGTATATAAATATGTAGTAAAAGTACCAATGAATAGATCCTTTTGCTAGGGGTGGCTGTCTCTGATTTACTAAAATTATTTTTTAAATGTTATAAGTTATCACATATATTAAAATATGTCAAATTTCTTGAGATATTTCGTTACCGTTAGAGCTATATTCAGAAACAGTTTTCTCTCACCGGTGATAGCTTTCCTAGTATTAAATTAACTTTTGATTTTCCATGTCTGCAATAACTGAAAACCAAAGCTTATTGAAAATCAGTGATAAAATTTAACATAATTATAAAATCTCTGAGTAGTAAAGTCATTAATGGAGGGAATGGAGAAAGCGATCTCTTCCTCAATAGTCTTCCCTTCTTACTGGAACTGAAGCTACTTTTGCTAATTCATTTTCTGACTCAGTGTAAAAATGTGTAGACAATCTAAACCCAGGGGTTTGAGACTAGCCTGGGCAACTTGGCAAGGTCTCATCTCTACAGTAAATCAGAAAAGTAGTTGGGTCTGGTGGCACATGCCTGTAGTTTCCACTGAGGTGTAACGATCTCCTGAGCCCAGTAAGTCAAGGCTGCAGTGGCTGTGAGCATGCCACTCTTCTCCAACCTAGGTGACAGAGCGAGACTCTGACTCAAAAAAAAAAAAGAGAGATAAATGTTCTTAGCCAAGGTAGGCCTTAACTACCTTCCTGACTTCTTGAAACCTTAAGTTATACTGGTTCCTGTTGGTTTCTGGAGCATGCAGGACACCTCTACCCTTGGGGTGTCTATAAGCAGTGTGAGAGAGATGATTCATGGGAAATAGTAATGCTATGCCATGGAATGTGCTACGTACTAAATGCAGTGTGCATACAAGGTACCTTATTAGAGGGATGGGAAGCAAAGGTCCAACTAGGCCAACCAATAAAGATTTATGGAAGAGGAAGTGCTTGACCCAAAGCCTTGAGGAGCGGCTACAATTTTTCTAAGAGACAGGAAAGGGAAATAAGGCACAGTAATGGCAGTGGGCAGCATGGACCCCATACAAGAAAGAAAGTCCATTCGTCTGGCCAGGATGTGACGTAACTTGTAAGTCCCAGGAGGTGAAGCATGGGAGACGCTGAGTGCAAGCCCAGGGAGAGGCTCTATCTGCTTTCTGGGGAGCTGTGGAAGGTTGTTGAGCATGATATTGACATGACCACATCTGTTTTTTAGAAGATTGGCCTGCTGGTCGGGTAGGAACAGGATAAATTGAAGCTACCACAGGTCAGGGAAATGGGACAGTTGGAAGGAAAAAAATGCAGTTTGGATTTCTCACATACTGAGTTTGGGCTGCATGAGTAGAATATGTGGGTGAAAATGTGTAGCAGAAAACTGGGAAATTCCCAATTAATCCTCAGGGAAGCTGTGGATTAGAGTTTGGGATCAAAGTACAGGTCCCACAGAAATAGTGGTTGGAGCTGTGCCTGTGAGGTCTGAGGGGAGTGGGTGTGGTTGTACTTGGGTGGACTCGTTATTTGGTCTGGCCGTGACTTTCCCCATCTGTCCTATGAGCACATACAACTTGTCCAAAAGTGACAGAGCACAGAATTTAAAAGCAAGAAGACAAGCCAGCAAGGGAAATAAAAAGGAGTGACTAGTTAAGATAAGGACCAGAACACAGCACTGTCAGGCCCTAGAGGGAAGAAGATGGAAAGGGAGAGGGCGGTCAGAAGGGAAGAGGGCGAGAGGCTGCACAGGGGTGAAGGAGGAGGGGAGAGGTCGCAGGAGTGGGAGTCACAAGTCAAGAAGCGCTCTCTCCGCCATGCAGTCTGGCTGGAAGCTGTTTTGAGATGAACTTAGGGGCAATTTGAAGACATGGAAACAGTTTATTCAATCAACAAAGTTATTTTTGAAATTTGGTAACAAGAAGGGGCACAATACTTGTACAGTGTCATCCAGTGTTGTAAGTCCTGGCATATTTTCAGCTCATAGTTGCTTTCTAGACTGAAATTGCAGCTGAGACCTTATTTTTAAACCCCTAAATTGTTCAGGTAAGAAAAACACATTTTTTTTTTTTTTTGAGTTGGAGTCTCACTTTGTTGCCCAGGCTGGAGTACAGTAGCACACTCATGGCCTCCCCAGCGTTGACCTGCTGGGCTCCAGCAGTACTTCTGCCTGAGCCTTCCAAGTAGCCAGAACTACAGGCACTTGCTTCTATGCCTGCCTAATCTTTTAAATTTATTTATTGTAGAGATGAGGTCTCGCCAAGTTGCCTGGGCTGGTCTCAAACCCGCAGGCTCAGGCAATCCATTCTCCTCGGCCTCCCAAAGGTGCTGGGATTACAGGGTGAGCCACCAAGCCCGGCCAGAAAAGCACATCTTACAAATGATTGCTTCTTTTTAAAACACACCAACTTTGATCTCCATGGAGAAAAATATAACTCCATGAAGACTTTGCCAGCCAGAGAGCATCTACATTGTTTAAAACTCTTACTTGTAAAAGCAAACCATTTTGTTTGGCTTGGGCTTTTTTTAGATCGAAGGTAGACCAGGTGCAAGACATAGTCACTGGCAACCCTACAGTCATCAAGATGGTTGTCAGCTTCAACAGAGGTGCCCGGGGTCAGAACACCCTGCGCCAGCTCCTGGCTCCAGTGGTGAAAGAGATCATTGATGACAAGTCCCTGATCATCAACACAAGCCCTGTAGAGGTATACAAGGCTTGGGTGAACCAACTAGAAACACAGACTGGAGAGGCCAGGTAAGGAAGTCTGGAAGTGTTGGTCTTTAATCATGTTTTATGATGATTTTACCTGTACATTTATTTATACTCTTAAACTGTGTTTAAAAAAATTACAAAGTGTTTTCAGTCCAACATGTTACCTCCCTTTAATATGTCCATGCAGATCTTGGTCATCTTGATATTAAATAGTACTTTCAAATTTCAGAGCCAGTTGATCCTCAATGCCACAACTTCTCTAATTCTCTTTGTAGTTTATTTTGTGTGTGTGTGTCTAAACGAGATAGGGAGATTGTAGACATTCTCAGTTCATCCAGGCAAAAGTTACCAAGCAAGTAACTTTAATGCATAGGGATTACCAATCTAGGTAGGATTGGCTAATTCTAGGTGAATGTTTGTAGATTTAAGCAATCCTAGTTTTTTATTTCCTGGGAAAGGGTGTCTTGTGAAATAAGATGTGCACAGAGAATTATGTGGGTGGTTGTCACAACACTGTTTATTATAGTGCAAAGTCAGGAAAAGTCAAAATATTTAGCTCTGGGGGATTTGTTAAATGTTTGTGCAGCACACAATGGAGTAAGTAACTATGTGGAATGGTGGTATAGACATATATTTATTAGCACAGAAAAAAATGATAATGAAGTATTTTAGTTACGGTTAGGTATAATAACCATTTTTCTAAGAAATAAAATTGATCATGTATACACACACACACACACACACACACACACACACACACACACACACACACACAAGAGATCTGTATAGGATGTCTATATACTCGAGTTGCCTTCCACCCTCAGTGTGTGAGGCCCATATACCATATACACACACACAGAGGAAGATTTGGAAAGTTATACACTGAGATATGAACACTGTCACTGCTCTGGTATTGTTTTCATGTTTGCTTACATGCAACTTTTTTCTGTAATGAACATACTACTTTTATTACTTAAAAAAATGAAAAGAAAAGAAAGTTAGTTAGCTGCATCTATATTACCTCGGCCTGCCTATCATTTTGCCAGAAGAGCCCAAAAGGAGGGCCTGGGGCCCCTCTGCTCCACTAGTGGCGGGAGGCACCCTCATGCAGCAAACATTTGGTTACAGGAGTCACGCGGCAAAGTCTAGTCCTTTCTACAAAACTTGACTGTGGAACCAGCTTGGCAGGAATACTAATGCTTGTGCCTAAGCCTCCAATTAACGGAAAGTCCTTGTGTTTTTAGCAAGCTGCCTTACGATGTGACCACAGAACAAGCACTCACATACCCAGAAGTGAAAAATAAACTGGAGGTGTCTATTGAGAACCTGAGAAGGGTCACCGACAAAGTCCTGAATTCTATCATTTCCTCCCTTGATCTACTGCCGTAAGTTGTATTTGTAGCACATATAACATTCTTTACTGGAAGCTCTTGGAATATTTTGTAAAATAAGCCCCTGTAGTAAAGACAGGCGTTTTCCCTCATATGATATTTACTATTTTGAAAGACTGCCTACATTTACCCTTTAAATTCCTAACTGTTCTCTGAAGCGGAAACAATGCTTCTGTCATAGCCACCAACACGGCCCAGTTGCTGTCATCAGTGGAAGTCCTGTGATTCCATTCCCATCTCATTTTATGTTTAATTTTTAGGAAATCTGCTCAGCATTAGGTGACTGGAACAATTGCTATGTTTTTTCCTCACTTAGCCCCTTTTCCATGATTTTCTTTTGTCATCTGTTTTATATGTAGTTATGGATTGAGGTATATAGCCAAAGTACTGAAGAATTCCATCCATGAGAAATTCCCTGATGCAACAGAAGATGAGCTATTAAAGGTAGATTTTCAAGGGTAATCTCGCCATAGCTTCTCTCGGGGGGGATGAGCTGAAATGACCCAGCATACAATTCTGTCAGATTTCTTCCCATTGATAGCTATTTGTAATAAGCTGCAGGTCTTCTGTTTCTAATGACTTTCAAGATGACTGATTAAGCTGAGGTTAATTTGGAGATCTTAAGACATTATATCAAAATTCTTTGAACTTGAGCATCATTAGGGGCAATAAGTATATTTTTGCCAAAAATAATTTTGTAAATTACTATATTAGGAATGTGTGATTATATTCACTGCCTTTACGTAACTCTCTGTTGGAATTCACACCAGAAAATTACTTTCCCTTGGGAAATGGGAGCAAATATATAGGGTTTTTTTAAAAAAAAAAACCCTAGAACTTGAGTTTTCTCTCTTGAAAATGATCTTTCTCTCTGCATCACTCCAGATTGTTGGAAACCTCCTGTACTATCGGTACATGAACCCGGCCATCGTGGCCCCCGACGGCTTTGATATCATCGACATGACAGCCGGGGGTCAGATCAATTCCGACCAGAGGAGGAACTTGGGATCCGTGGCCAAGGTTCTTCAGCACGCAGCCTCCAACAAGCTGTTTGAAGGAGAAAATGAGCATCTGTCATCTATGAACAATTATTTATCAGAGACGTATCAGGAATTCCGGTGAGCAGGCCCATTTGTTTTGGAGGAACATGCAAGAATGGTTGGCAAGAAGCCTGAGTTGTGTGCACAGAGCTGGAGTTGGGGGTGCGGACTAAAGCTCCAAGTGGCTATGTGAATTTCTGACAGTTGCCACTGGGGCAACAGGGGGGCGGGAGGAGCAGGCCAGCTTGCTTCTGCCTGGTGTCTCTACCCACCCCTCCCCCCACTCCCATTCTCCCTATATGGATGATTTCTGCTGTTGATAAAACAGAATAGCATTCTTCCTGGTATGCTACAGGCTTGTTGTACTTGGAATTTTAAAAAAGTAGATTTCTGCGTTGTTGCGCTTAAGAAGAGGTTAATAGCTTTTTTTTTTAATTTTGCAATCAGCAAGAATGTGCCTTTTGTGCATGAAATACAGTTAAATACTGTTAACCCTTGAACAACATGGCTTGAACTGCTCAGATCCACTAACGTGGATTTTTTTTTTAGCCAAACACAGATGGAAAATGCAATATTTGCAGTACGCAAAACCCACTTACTTAGGGAGGCTGAGATGAGAAGATGGCCTGAGTCCAGGGGTTCAAGACCAGCCTAGGCAACTTGGCAAGTCCTCGTCTCTAAAATAAGTCAAAAAAATTAACTCAGGCATGGTAGCTCATGCCTGTGGTGCTATCATGGAATGCTGAAGCAGAAGGATCACCTGAGCTCAGCAGGTTGAGGCTGTGGTGGCCATGAGCATGCCACTGTACTACAGCCTGGGTGACAGAGTGAGACTCTGACTCAATCAGTTTTATTTATTTAAAATAAAAATAAAAGGCCAGGTGCAGTGGCTCAAGCCTGTAATCCCAGCACTTTGGGAGGCTGAGGCAAGAGGATTGTCTGAGCCTGGGCAACTTGTTGAGACCTTGTCTCTACAATACATCAAAAAATTAGCCACGTGTGATAACGTGTGCCTGTAGTTCTGGCTACTTGGAAGGCTGAGGCGAAAGGATCACCAGAGCCCAACAGGTCAATACTGGGGTGGCAGTGAGCATGCCACTGCACTCTGGCCTGGGCAATGGAGTGAGACTCCAACTCAAAAAAAATAAAATAAAATAAAAATAAACACAGCCAAAAACCTCCCCTCACCCTCTCTTTAATTTCATTCCTTCCATTCACATTTATTATTTGTCCCTCAGAAACCCATGAAAAATTATAGCCTAACCAGCACAGGAAGACCCACTGTCACATGGGAACACGTTCCACCCAACATGGCTGCTTGCCTCCCCCAGCCTTGGGTTGGAAAGGCAGAGATCTCTTCTGGTACATAAGCCTTGAGTGTCCAAAGGAGAGATAGCAAGGATGATTTCAGGCATATGTAGCATTGACACCTTTATAGAATAAAATATATATTCTTTATAGCATAAAATATAATAATTTTATAGAATAAAATATAAAAATATATAACCTAGTGCAAGGATTCCTTGGGCAGAAACTCGCTGGGACTTCTTCTAAACTGTGTTCACAGCATGCCTTGCTTTTCTTGATCTCTCTGCCTGGATGTGAAATAGCTTAAAATGGTCGACTTCTTAGGGTCTGAGTACTGGGACATTCTATGCATTGGGGTGTCTAGCTTTAACAGTCTTTCCCTCGGCCAGCAGCTATTGTTTGGATCAACGAAAAGCAGAGTGGACTCGACTCCCATTTTTTGTCAGACTGGTAGCAGAAGCTCTGAGGGATGAATTGGAGTATGGGGGGCCCAGGATCTTGTGCCATGTAAAGTAGCAGATTTGATGGATTGCTTTTCAGATTACATTCTCTACCAAGACTTGATTCTCAGATCAAGAAGTCTCATTCTTGACTTTTTAGCTTAAACTTCAGGGGATAGTTTTTAATGATCATAGTTTGACACACTGAGTCACACACAGGTCCTGAGACCCTTACCACACCCTCCAGTCCTGACGGAAGAGCTGGATTCAACATCCTGAAACACAAACTCAGCTTTCACAGCCAGGAGCTAGCCTGAAAGCAGCTGGAACAAGTCTCTCAAGGCTTGGGATAGAGGACAAAGCACTAGCCATCTTTCAAAATTTCTTAGCTTTTCCTTCCTTCTTCCCTTCTTTCCTTCCTCTCTCCATTCCTTCCTGTTTCCTTCCCTCCCTCCTTTCTTTCTCTCTCTCTCACTCTTTCCTTTCTTCCTTCCTTCTTTCTTTCCTTCCTTCCTTCCTTCCCTCATTCCTTACTTTCTTTCCTTTCCTTCCTTCCTCCTTCCTTCCTTTCTTCCTTCCTTCCTTCCCTCCCTCAACAGGGCCTTGCTATTTCTCCCAGTCTGGTCTCCAACTCCTGGCCTCAAGCAGTCTTCCACCTTGGCCTTCCAAAATGCTAGGATAATGTATGTGATGTGAGCCACCACATCTGGCCTCTTAGTTGTTTTGATGAAGCTGTTTAACTAAAAAATGTTACCCTATCTTAAGAATTTTCCCCCCTTTCTTAGGAAATATTTCAAAGAAGCATGTAATGTCCCTGAGCCAGAAGAGAAGTTTAATATGGACAAATACACAGACTTGGTGACAGTCAGCAAGCCAGTCATTTATATTTCAATTGAAGAAATCATCAACACACATTCAGTAAGTGGGGCTGGGTGAGTCTAAGCAGTGGGCACCATTCAGATGTCTGTTATCTGTAAAATGCTCGGTCTTTACAGGACTTACTGTACACACCTGCTAATACCTAGGTTCTTAATCCTAAAACTCCCTTGATTACATTTATTCCTTGACTGTTATACATTAATAAACCTGTTTCTCCCAAACAAGCAAGTTTACTTTGGGTGTGATCCATTTACAAAGGCAGATTGTAAATATACAGTTTCAGCCCAGAGCCGGGGTAGGCACTGGTGTCCTCCCACAAAGCCATCCTGTCTAGATCCACACCCTGCCTCTCTCCTCTTCCAGGAATCTCCGCAGCATTTTCAGTAATTTTCCAAGAATGTCCTCTCTATTCTAATGTTTGGAAATGAAGAGAGAGGTGGTAAACAGCCTATTCAAGAAAGACAAGAAGCCACCACCCAATACTAGCCTCCAGCAAGGAATCACTTTCATCATTCTGGAAAACTTCATTTCTTAGAAGCAGGCAGTCTCACATCCTGTGCTGAGTTCTGACAACCCCCTGGTTCACATACAGACATCACCACCATCAGCCACTAGCATGTATTCAGCACCTATTGGGGGCATGGCACTGTGCTCAGCGGCATTGGCAAGGAATTAGGAGGCCTTAGATGGCTTTGCAGTCCTTTAAAGTTAAAAGAAAAAGAAAAAATTGTTAAGCATTAAAGGGTTTTGCTTTTTAAGCAAAAGCTATTTCAAGAATAGTTTTCAGCCTTGCTAGTCAAAGCAAGTTCCTGGGGATGTGTTAGAAGTGCACCTCAGACCTCCTGAATTAGAACCCACATTCTAACAAGACCTCAGGGGATTCGGTTGCGTATTGGCCATCTGGATGCTTCAGTTAAGGATGCATCCAACTTTGGATCTCACAGACACCTAGGGGAAAGCAGAACAAATATGTACCTCTCAAGGGTTCTGCTCCTGCTTCTTCAAACCAGGGTAGACCGACTGCTTAAAACTTCAGTCTTTGTTATTAAGGTCTTCTAAGAAACTAAAGCTTGAATATGGATTTGCAGAAAAATTGAATCTGGTTTTGATTTTTCCTCTTTCAGTTAAGAACAGAGAACTTCCCTAACATTTGCAGCAAGCTCTCAATAAGTATTGGTTAAATGAATAGGCAATCCTTCTTTTCTTAATATATAAGCACTCCAAATCACAAGGAAAACTGTCCAGCAATCCAGCAATGCACAGTTTACAAAGATAATTATCTAATGGGCGAGCAGACTCACTTATATTTGAGCACTGATCCAGTTGCCTATTTTTATGGTATATTAGTCCATGTAAAAAAAAGTGCATATCTTGGCTGAACATTTGCAGTGGGCAATATCCACTTGCAAAAAAAGTGGTGAGGGGTTCTTTTGTAGAGTAAGAGTTTCTTTCCCAAGGGTAGCAGGGAGCAAATGTTATTGAATTAATTTAGACTACTAGCCTTTAGGGAGAAATAGTGTGTGCCTTTTGTTAATAAGAATTGAAAGCAGAGTCCAAGCCTGGGAAACAGAGCTTGTGACCCATTTGGAACTCCGTCATGTGTTAGGTTGGGAGCAGATGTGATGTGGGAACATTGTGCAACTGCAAAGGAAGACTGTCCTGTTTACTGACTGTCTCCTGTGAGGAGGCAGCTGGAGCGGACACAGGCACAGCAGAAGCATGACTTGCCAAGCCTGTGGCCATGTGCATATCCCTCGAGCTCTGAGGAATATGCTAAACTTCAAAATAAACCCTTTAAGGAGAAATTTTCAGGAAGTTTTATCAGAATAAAAGGTAGAAACTGTCCACCAAATCATCTGTTTCCAAAGGCAGCAGCCAAATCAGCTATCCTGTCTCGTCAGAGGACAAGAACAGAAATGTATCCTTCTTGCTTATTTGTTCTTGTCTTTAACTTACCCCCACCACAAAATACCATACATGCCACCTTTCCAGATTTTGCTATGTCTTTTTAGCCCCCTATTATTTATTCAATGTCTTTCTTTGAATCGATCATCTTTTTTAAAACAGCACATATTTCTTTGCTTTAAAACATGGTACATCTACTGTAGTGAAAAACTAGCATGCCTTTCCATAGGCAGAAATTTTGGAAGAAAATAAGTTTAAAGAAAATAGAATAGTTGGATACAGTCACTTTCTTTTCTTGAAGCTTACATCTGAAGTGTGCTCTCCCTTTGTTAAAGACATTAACAAGTATCAGGAAATGTTAGGGAGCATTTAGAGTTAGACAGACACTTTCTCCTTCGATAGTCTTAAAGACTTTTAATAGAATAAAGCCGGGCTCGGTGGCTCAGCCTGTAATCCCAGCATTTTGGGAGGCTGAGGTGAGTGATTGCCTGAACCCGTGGGTTCGAGACCCACCTGGGCAACTTGCGAGACCTCATCTCTACAATAAATCAAAAATTA